ATATCCCAAATCTGTCATTCTGCCGAGTCGCTGCCTTTAAAAGAACTCGACATATCAAATTCCCATACTTTATCTCCAAGTATCCCAACATGAAGCACAAGTAATTAATACGTGGGGATTAGGGGGCACGGGGGTTACTGAAAGTCAAACAATGGGTCCCTTTTTACAGATTTTCGGAACGCACCCTATACGTATGTCTCAGATTTTTGCATTCATGAATGAAGTATAATAAACAAACCAAACGTACCCTGCTCTTCAATGATTACATCGCAAAGTCGTCTTATTTCCTTGTACACTTCAAGCCTATCTCCATCCATATGCAAGGAGGCAATCTTGGACGAGTGAAACTCATCCTAGAAAGCAACAAATAGCAAACAGATAGGAAATGTAACCCTAAGAAGATACCAGGTATGTAGTGATATGACTCATAGACGTAAGATGAACATCAGCTTGCTCCATTAACGCCCCGGACTCGTAACATATTGAACATGCCCACCAAGGCTGTACGGTGAAGGAAAAGTGAAGTTCGTGGACACATTCGAGACCTCAAACATCATTCCATGTTTACAAGCTTATCCCTCGAAAACAAGAACTTACCGACAACTCGTTCACCACAAGCAGTGTACCTTTTGAGTAGTACGGATGAACCACTGAACGGCCCAAATTTTGGAATTTCCTTGGCAAAGAATTCATATACAAGGAGTTTCTGAAATATGAAAAGAATTGAACCAAATAAAAACCTGCAACTATCTCACCTTTTTATGTTTCGTCTGACTCTCATGTTTATCTTTGTCTTCACGAGTTGGACAGCAATCTTGGCAGATCTAAAGACATCATACATCACTTCAAAATTGATAGAAAGTTGTTGCGTTTTTTTGTCGGGTATTATCTTTTTTGAGCTCAATAATGTTTTCATACTCATGCAGCGCTGTGATATAGTCAGGCCTGTACGTACCAAGAAAAAAGAATTTTTTATTTAGTTTTTTATTTAGGAGTCCTGCAATACCTCTGGCTAATACTTCTGAATTATACAAACCAGGAAAACGCTGGTTCTCAATCTCCGTAAACTTGTCATGGAAGGGGGAAAAGCTTGCATTCTCAACGGACGTATCAACTGAAGTCATTCTTATCCGAAAACATACTCGGGAGATTGAAAACGACATGAAGGCTGACAGAAAACTTTTCACCGGTAACCACTCAGGCTAAGTTCAACTTAGCCTAAAGTTTCAAACAGTCATATATACCTTTCCTTGATATCTTGGTGCGAGCGTGTTTTGCTCCACCAAGATATCACGGGAAGGTGTGACTGTCTGAATTTTTACGCTGTGTTGAACCAAGCCTGAACGGTCACCTTCGTTCAAGAGTTTTCTATCAGCCTCCGTGTCGTTTTCAATCTCCACAGTATGTTTTCGGAAACGGACTTCAGCTGATTCGTCCATTGAGGGTGCAAGCTACTCCTACCTCCATAACAAGCTTGCAGGAATTGAGATCGTTCCAACGTTGAGTTCCAACGTTTACAAGAGCTCACGCGCGTTGGTACCAAATAAGGAAACTTATTACTGCCTTCAATAATTAATGTTCAGCAACTTATTGTTTTGTCTGTCTTTCAGCCTTATACCAATACATTCCACACATTCAGACCAAATGTTTTTTTACAATGACCCAGAAATTAGCAGAATGACCGAAAACGTCACTATATTCGAGCGGACAGGCATTTTAAGGCCCTGAAGAGTGTGGTTAGTGCTGGGACCTTTTCAAATGAGATTCTGTCGCCCCTCCCAAAAATTCCTCGGAT